ATATATTTATTAGGAATATTAATTAATAAGTTATATTTAATAAAGATTTAAATAAAACCAATTGATAAATGCTGAATCAGAACAATTATGACTGTTAATTAAATATCAAACCAACATCAGATAGATATGTAGCTAATTTTTTCATAATAAAATGAACTAGGGCCTACATTTTAAATACCTGGGGCATTTTGTCACTTTCTTTGCCATTTTTAATTTCTGATGCTGGTGTGGAGTAAAGCAGTTTTTACATGATGTTTGCTGTGTCCAATCAGTCATCTAAACGGCTGCTCCCTGGAGAACATCAGCAGACCGTCTCTCCTCATCACAGACTCCTTCAACGCCTCGTATGTTCAGCCTCGCAGGAAACAGCGTGATGAGCAACTGCTCAGTAAGTTCAGACTAAACCAGCAGTAAAATTAGTTTGGTGATTTGTCATCAGACTTATTTGCATCAATGAAGCAGACTTCCTAAGGCTGTTATTTTGGATAAGTGTGACATTTGACCTTCTATTCCAGCCAATGTCATGGAGACCCTCCGCGGCGACGGGAACGTGCTGATCGCGGTGGATACCGCGGGGCGAGTGCTGGAACTGGCTCAGCTCCTGGATCAGATCTGGAGGACCAAAGACGCAGGACTGGGCGTTTACTCGCTCGCCCTGCTCAACAACGTCAGCTACAACGTGGTGGAGTTCTCAAAGTCCCAGGTCTCTCTGTCACAGTCAAGTCCTTTTGAAATGTTGTCTGTGTGGTCTACAATAATATCGTAATTGTTTAATGATGTGCAAGCTGCCATTATAGAGTATGTCACTCGCTTTGCAAAAACCAAACAGCTTTCACTGCATCATATTTAATGCCATCTGAATGCCCCGAAATTCAAGACAGACAGGGCCATTTTTTGTCTTATATTTATATCAAATGATATAGTTAAGCAATATCATATGAACAAGAGTGCTGTTTTCCTGAATATCAGCATGATTGCAAATGTTATATTGATTTTATGAAACGGCTCATTTAACAAAAACTTCATATTTTGTTACATTTCATCCTTTTTCTCACAAATTTGAGTTATAAAGTTGCAGTTCTGATTTTATTTTTATGTCTCTATTTTGGAGGTATAATCTGAGAATTGACTTTTTTCTCATATTTATATAAAATATTATAAATGTTATATGTTTTTTACAAAATACTAACGTTAAAAGAAAAAAATATATATAAAATAATTAAAATTTAAGTTAAAGGTTTTTATTTTATTTTGTAGAATATGCTAAAATAAAAAGGTTCCTAAATTCACAAGCACAAGAAATGGAAAGTAGCACATTGAATTAAACATGAAATTTTGAAGTAGAAGGACTAAAAATAGTATTTTTTTGTCAACATTCCAATAATCTTTTTATTTTAATTAGACATTCAAAAATTACTTTCACAGTGTGGTGAGAGAATGATAATTTTTGGATGAAAATACTAAAGTTAAAATAAAAAAAATATATATAAAACAAATTAAAATTTAAGTTAAAGTTTTTATTTTATTTTGTAGAATATGCTAAAATAAAAAGGTTCCTAAATTCACAAGCACTTGAAGCACAAGAAATGGAAAGTAGCACATTGAATTAAACATGAAATTTTGAAGTAGAAAGACTAAAAATAGTATTTTCTTGTCAAATATACTCCAATAATCTTTGTTTTATTTACAACTTCAAAAAATATTTTTTTTGCAATGTATATATAATTAGTATTTTTTATTTTGCACAAGATGCTCAAGTTAAAATAAAATATTTTGAATATAAAACAGGCAACAACCCTACATTTAATTTATTTAAATGTATTAAAACTAGTGATAGTTTTGAATAAATATTAGCAAATTTGTGTGCTATGGCAGTGTTCAAGATTTATTCTCTTTTTTTTGTACATTGCTAAAATTAAAATTAAAATATTTGTATTTTAAAATACAAAAAAAACCAAAACATTTTGTTTAAATGTTTTTAAGAGGATTAATTGTATTAGAAAGCAGTGTTTAGGATGTGTCTTCCTTATATGTGGCCTGCAGGTGGCGCTCACCCTGTAGTCTGAGAGATTGTCACAAATCAGCATTTGGTAAAAATGTGTCACGCCTTTACTAAGATGTAGCATCATTCATCACGTATCCTAAAATACCCAGGTTTCTCCCAAACACACTCAGATACTGCTGTCAGTTTTAACAGAATAATTAGCACTTATGCCTAATAACCCTCCATCCTTCTGTAATTAATTGCTCTTCTGTGGTTTGTGTGTTTGTTTGCTGAACTGAGAGATAATGTGAGTGATTCTAATCTTCAGTGGTGTGAAAATGTTTTAAAACATTTGAGATCTGAGCTCAATTTAATGCTGATGCATTTGCCAGCATTTTACAATGATCATTTTGATCAATTTTAAAGCTTAAGTATAAAAAATATATATATATATAATTAACTCAAACATCAGAATGAAAATGATAATATTTCAGAAAGAAAATAGACAATTCAGCATGTCAACACAATATCTGCTAACATTTACTATTTTTCATGATTTATAGTGTAAATTAAATGTATGCATAGTTATTATATTATAAAATGTAATAATTAAAATAAGATGTCAGAGCTTTTCAGGTTCTTACCATTTTTAAAAACCTCATCAAATAAAAGTTTTTTGATTATTTTGTAAGGTTAAACAATATATTGTCATTCTACAGGTATTGAATCTTATAATATTATAATGTTATATGTTATATGTTTTTATTATCATAATAATATACAAATGATTTTAAATGAATGAATGTGAAAAAAAATCTCATTGATACTTTGGTTAAAAAAAACCATGAGTCTACTCTAGGTTTGAACTTAAAAATGTGAAATACTTTTATTTTATTACAGACTAATCATACTGTGATTAGTCAAATTCATCTCTGTCAGTGTTGTGATACATGTATACTTTACTTTTCTCTAATGATATTGTTGTAGTGTTTGGTCATATTTTTTATGGCAGACTGACCCAGATATGGCGTATTGATGCATCTGTTGTGTCCCTCAGAGCTCGAGTCACATACATCGATTATGAAGGCCGTTCTGATGGCGACTCCATTAAGAAGATCATAAACCAGATGAAACCCAGACAGCTAATCATCGTTCACGGGCCGCCTGAGGCCAGTCAAGACCTGGCCGAGTCCTGCAAGGCCTTCAGCGGGAAAGACATCAAAGTTTACACGCCAAAACTGCAGGAGACGGTGGACGCCACCAGCGAGACCCACATTTACCAGGTAATCATTCTATCTGTCACACAGAACCTGAAATTAAACAATCATATGTATTTCAACAACTTTTATATTTATTATAATTATATATATTTCAACAACTTTTATATTTATTATAATTATATATATTTCAACAACTTTGAGAAATGCCAACTAAAATGATACAGTGGGTACGGAAAGTATTCAAACCCCCTTAAATTTTTCACTCTTTGTTATATTGCAGCCATTTGCTAAAATCATTTAAGTTAATTTTTTTCCTCATTAATGTACACACAGCACCCCATATTGACAGAAAAACACAGAATTGTTGATATTTTTGCAGATTTATTAAAAACGAAAAACTGAAATATCACATGGTCCTAAGTATTCAGACCCTTTGCTCAGTATTTAGTAGAAGCACCCTTTTGATCTAATACAGCCATGAGTCTTTTTGGGAAAGATGCAACAAGTGTTTCACACCTGGATTTGGGGATCCTCTGCCATTCCTCCTTGCAGATCCTCTCCAGTTCTGTCAGGTTGTGTGTGTGTATATATATATATATATATATATCAGTATAGTTGCCATTTCTCAAAGTAAAAATATAATTAGGACCATTATTTTATTTTTTTTACGAAGTATACTTAAATATTGCTGTTTATTTGTTGTTTTTGTTATCGTTTTAAACCATTTATTGTATTTTATTCCTATTGCTTAAATTTTTTCTAACCATTTTTATCACCTTTTTGCTTTGCAATTTTTTTTTTCTATTAATTTTTATTTTTTTTTAACAGTGTAACAAATAAATTTTTAAAAATATACATATTCCATTTAGTCTCAATTAATATTGGGTAAAAAAAAAGAATTCTAAAAATATATTTAAAAAAATTAGCGAAATTAATTTGTCTATCAGTATCTATCATTGTCATCATGTTGTTAAAAACAGACACATTTTAATAAAAAATTATTAAAATGACCAAAACGCACAACAAAATTCTTAACTTTAACTAAAGTTGAAAACATAAAATATAACAATAAAATCTCATTCAAAATATCAACAAAAATTATAAACTGAAACTTATTTTATTTCGGCTAGTCACCAAGGCAACATTCCTCATTTTTTTTAAGTTTGTTTAAGCATGACTAAAATGAAATAAGCTAAAACTAATAAATAAAAACGAAGCAATACTACATAGACATATTAAAAAGAATAAACAACTGATAACATTTCTAAAGCTTTAACTCAAAATAAAGTGAAAACAAAATATATATATAAATAAAATATATTTTTGTAATTGTTTTGCAGTGTGACATGCTAAACTCCATCTTACTGCTCAATATATAAATATTAAGATATTAAATATTTCACAAAAGTTTCTGGGAGCATTAAGTTGTGAATGTTTCAAAACAGCATCATTTACTTTAAATATCATTTTATCTTTGACATTACACAAAGTGTCCAGTCTTCTGAAATGTTCACAGACTGATGAAGCTGTAAATGTGTCTGTAGGTCAGACTGAAGGACTCGCTGGTCAGTTCGCTGCAGTTCTGTAAAGCCAAAGACACGGAGCTGGCCTGGATCGATGGCGTTCTGGACATGCGGGTGGAGAAAGTGGACACGGGTGTCGTCCCAGAGATGGGAGACGCTAAAGAGGAGACGGAGGACGGAGAGCCAGCCGTGGACGTCACGCCGGACCTGACGACTGAGCCCAGCGCCGCGGCTAACCAGCAGGCCATGAAGACTCTGTTTGGAGAAGACGACAGGGAGATTTCAGAGGAGAGCGACGTCATTCCCACGCTGGAGCCGCTGCCTGCTCATGAGGTGAGAGCACTAACAAAAAAACATTTTTGTTGCTTGAAAAAAAATATAAACGTTAACTTTAATAAAATATAAAAATATATACTACTTTTTTTTTTTTTTATAAGTTTAGTTCAGCTAGTTTCCAAATGACATTGCTCATTTTCGTTAAGTTGATGTACTAAAACTACTGAAACTAAAAAATATATAGACATCTTTAAAAAAAAAAAAAATTACTAAACTAAATACTAACTAAAATTAAAGTGAAAATATAAAAATAAAATTATTTACAAAAACTATAAATTGAATCATAATGTAATTATAGTTATAATATATTACAATATAATAGAATTTCATTTCAGCTAGTTCGCAAGGCAACATTTCTCATTTTCACTTAATTTAAGTTATAACAAAATAGCTATAGCTAAACTAAAACTAATAAATAAAAATGAATAACTATTATAAAATAAAATAAAAATAATAAAGACAAAACCACAACAAAATTGCTAAAACTTTCAAATTGAAAACAGAAAATATTAAAATAAAATCTAATTCAAATTATTAACAAAAATCCTGATCTTAAACTAATTGTTTTTCAGCTAGTTGCCAAGGCAACATTTTTCATTTTCATTTAAGTTAAAGTACTAAAATAATTAAAACTAAATAAAGTAAGACTAATAAATAAAAATGAACAACTACTATATAGACACATTTAAAAAAAAAATTATAGAAGCAATGACAAAAACACAAACATTTCTAAAACTTTAACAAAAATTTAAATGAAAACAGAAAATATGGGAATAAAATGTAATTCAGAATATCAGCAAAAACTATAAACTTAAGCTTATTTATTAAATTATTAATACTACTATATAGACATATTATATTTTACATTTATATAATACTTATTATTAATTACACACACACACATATATATATATATAAACTAATAAAAATCGCAAAACAACAAAATAAAATTACAATTAAATTAAAAACAGAAAATATAAAATCTAATTTTAAATATTGAACAAAAATATCAATGATATTGAAATAACTCTAGATTTATGGCTTGTTGGTTAGAGAATGCAATTCTGCTGTCATGCAGTCTTGCAGAGAGAATAGAGGAGAATATATGTGCAAAGAAGAGAGTGAGTTACAATGTAAATTAGGATAAAATGAGCTCATGATGAAGGTTGAAGTAAAGCTCTATATTCTACAGCTGATCACCAGAGAAAAGACATTGGAATAGATCTGCACTGAACAGATGAACAGATAAGGTGTTTTGTTGAGCATGCATGGGAAATACAACACGTGTTCTCCTCAGGTCCCGGGTCATCAGTCTGTGTTCATCAACGAGCCTCGCCTGTCGGACTTTAAGCAGGTTCTGCTGCGTGAAGGGATCCAGGCCGAGTTTGTGGGCGGAGTTCTGGTGTGTAATAATCTGGTGGCTGTCAGGAGGGTGAGTGGAATCAGATTACGCCGCACAGTATGGAAATCATCTCTCATGAATATTTGATCAGTGGCCGGCACATTATGAGCCATACAATCAGGATGTGTTCTCAGTTTGTGTTGCAAAAAAACAAATCTGGATCCAGCAACTCTGGAGACTTTTACGTTCGTTTTAAAGACATTTATGCAGCGATCTACATATTTTACAATATAGTAATGTATCTATAACCTGCAGCTTTTTAAGCACATGTGCAGCTTGTTGCATCTTGTCATGCTACATACATGCACAAGAAGTAAATCTGTCCAGTGAGTTCTTGCTAAGCTGTCAGTGCAAGCATCATTGGCGTTGTCTCCTATTCATGGAAAATACTACACTTGCCTATTGTATCCCACAATGCAATGCTTCTGAACACCTCACTGCGCTGCTGTACAACACTGACCTCACTGACCCCTCTCTCTCTCTCTCTCAGACGGAAGCGGGCCGCATCTGTCTGGAAGGCTGCCATTGTGATGACTACTACAGGATTCGTGAGCTGTTGTATCAGCAGTACGCTGTAGTTTAACGGATCTCAATCAGCTCCAGCCCCTCCTTTCATTTCCTTTCCTTTTGTAGGTTTTGAGTTGTGTATATTTTATTATTGTTTCCCCCCACGTTTACATGGCAGACATTCTCTCTGAAAGTGACCCAAAGTGAGAGAGCATCTGTCTGGACTGAAGAAGAATCGATGCTACAGTCTTTTTGTTCTGAACTGCTGGATGCAAAGAAATGTTTAAGCCTTTTTTTTAATCCCTCAGATAAATTTTCATAATGAAGCGTCGTGTCTGTGTGGGTTTGTGCATTTACATTTATTCATTTCAGTGCTTTTATATAAAATATCTTGGGCTTGTTCAGCATAGCATACTACCATCTGCAGTGTTTAGTATGTATTCCGTGCATAGTATGCTCATTTTCTGTATGGCTATGCATGGAAATATGTACTAAATTTGGCGAAATGTGCATTGCGCGGCTTTTTCTTGAGTTTATATCATGCAATTCTGAGTTTATTTCACGCAGTTCTGAATTTATATCACTCAATTCTGAGTTTATATCGCGCAATTCACACTTTTTCTCATAATTGTGGGGGAAAAGTCAGAATTGTGCATTATGCAACATGCTAGTATTTCATTCTGAACATATTCTTCGAGCTCTGCATTTTATGCATGTGTGTTCCCTAGAAATCCAACCAGTGACCTTTAACACTCAACCCTATGAGGATGCTGGGATAATAATACTTCTTTCTAACACGCTACACAAACAAGACACCATAAATCATTTTTATTCTCATATTAACTGCCCTGTTGTCCTGCATGTAGTCTTTGAGCTCGTGACAAATCCACGTCATGCCCTCTTTCTTTGACCTGAATAACTGATCCAGGGTCAAAGCTTCCTGCGATATTCATAAATATTTCCAGCACGGCTGATCCTGAGTCAGCTGTTTGGACGCACGATCTGCCAGCACAGCAAACATTATGGCCCAGATACGTTTATTCTCATCTCTATGCAAAACACTCAACAATAATATGGGATTAGTCACTTCTTTTGTCAGTTTTCACTTTCTCTACTACTTCAAAATTGGTGGTTTTGTGTTTCTTAGTGTCTTCCACAAAGCACAGAATCCTTTAAACCCAAGATGATCTATATCTGTTTAGAAGAGTGTCTCCTGAATCATAAGAAAAACAACCCTAGATTGTATTTCCTCTTCCATCAAGCTCCAGCTCGTCACAGTTGACCGGGCATCTGTTGAACCTAGATTCATTTGTCAGACTCCCAGATGGTGGAGTGTGACCCATCAGGCCAGAGAAGATGCTTCCACTGACCCACGGTCCTCCCGGTCGAGCTGTACACCTTCCTGACTGACACTTGGCACTGTGCTCTCAATTCATGAAGGTATGAAAATGAAGCACTTTACAGGACCCTTGTGCTGAAATTGAGCATAAAGGTCATTTGGAAATGTGTATGTTGAAAATAAGAATGTTGATTATGTGCGATGCACTTCAGTTTTTAGCTGTGTGTATGTATAACCTACTGCTCTGCGCATTTTATTGACAGCAGCAGCACTTCAATCTCTTTAAAATTGCAAAAATCTGTCATTTTCACACTATAACCCAGCTAGCAGGGAATGTTCTCAGAACGTTCTGTCAAGGTTCTCTCAAAGTTATTACCAAATGTTCCTACAGTAACATTCATAGAACATTTGTCTGGTCTTAATAATGTTTGAAAATCATTCAATGTTTGAAACCCCTTAGTTGTTATCAATTCACTGTAAACCACGGCTTCTTGGGGCTTATTGATTTATTTCCATAATGTTTGCAAAACATTAGCACAAAAACGTTATTTATACATTGTTTATGAAATGTTTTTTCTGAAAAGTTTTAGTTGGACATTCGTCAAACCTTTTTAAACTGTTCTTTAAATGTTATCACGTGTTTACAATGTTCAGAGAACATTTAAAGTAACGTTCCCATAATGTTTGCAATATGTTAACACAAAAATGTTATCTGTACATCATTCATGGAAAGTTAATTTTTTTATGTTTTAGTTGAACATTCGTTATTACTTACTACTTTTTTCAGAACGTTCAGAGAACATTCAACACTAACGTTCCCATAATGTTTGCAAAATGATAAACGTTTGCAAATCATTCGCACAAAATCATTTATACATCGTTCATGGAACATTTTTCTGAAACCATTTAGTTGGACATAAATCGAACCTTTTTCAAAGATGTTATCACTACTTGTTTCACAATGTTCAGAAAACATTTAAAAGTAATGTTCCCATAATGTTTGCAAAACGTTAGAACAAAAATGTTATCAATACATCATTCATGGAAAGTTTTTCCTGAAACGTTTTAGATAACGTTTTTTAAACATTATTACTTACTACTTGTTTCAGAACGTTCATATGACTGTAAAAAATAACAGTTCCATAATGTTTGCAAAGCATTTACACAAAAACGTTATTTGTCCATTGTTTATGGAACACTTTTTTTCTGAAACGTTTTAGTTGGACATTCGTCAAATGTTCTAAACATTATTGCTTACTAGTTTCAGAACGTTGCCATAATGTTTGCAAAATGATGAAATGGAACGTTCCCTTAATGTTTTCTCTAGCATAACAGAGAAAAAAAGTTTTCAAAACGTTTAAAACACTGGAATTTTTGAACGTTCACAAATAACTCAATTGGAACTTTGTTAGCTGGGAAGAGATAGACGTTCAGGAGCGCAGTTGAGCGGACTGAGTGATGGGCACCTTTTCCTCTGTTGCATAATAGTTTTATACTCTGGAGATGTTTAAATGTAAAGAGTTCATGTGAACGCCGTCCTCGTGTTTTATGTCCCCCAGAATAAGTCAACTCCAGTAATCCTCTCTGTGAAAGAGTTGAAGAGATTTAGAAAAGGCGAGCGCGATTCCTCGCTAAAGTGGAGCATGATTCCAGCTCCACCTCTCTGCTTTTCATTTTGAAAAGTGACAGGGACCAGCAGAAATGTCCATCAGCTAATCCTCTTAGCGTTCATAATGCTGACTCTGCTTTAATGGACCTGACAGCTGAGCTGTAGACCAGACCGGCCAGAAATGGACCGTTGTGTTCCCGGAGCACAGAGTTCAGCCGCTCATCCTCAGCGGAGGCGAGATGGTGACAAAAGCGCTGTACTAAAGCTAAAACCTACCTAGACAGCATTTTAAGACATCATCTCCCAGTACGACAGCTGTTTAGTAAGATATATTCCTCTGTAGCGAATCAGCTCATGGGGAAATATGAATAATTAATCATAACTAGTTATAATTAATTATAAATATTTAGATCCGCTGTAGATATTTACTTGGCCTCTCAGGGTCAACTGTCTGTCAATTCTAAGAACGTTAATTTCCTGGTTAAGGGAAATAACTTTCTTACTGTACAATTCTACACCGAGCTTGTAGCATAAATCTGCATGATTAAGTGACTCCAGTTATGAGCAAACAATGAACAACGTCAAGTGTGATACAAGTAAGACTTTATTAACTACATAAACACTTAAACTAGTCTAACATACTACATAAACGCTTAAACTGGTCTAACCTACACATAAACACTTAAACTGGTCTAACCTACACATAAACACTTAAACTGGTCTAACATACACACACACACACACACACACACACGCATACAGTTGGTATAGGAAAGGGTT